GTGGTTTTAAAATATGTACCCAAGGGTGGGTGCCCATGGCTCAGTGCGTTAGTGCATTGGCCACATGCACCAGGTGGGTTTGAACCCAGCCCAGGCCTGCTAAACAACAACAACAACAAAAAAGCCAAGCATTGCGGCAGGTGCCTGTAGTCCCAGCTACTAGGGAGGCTGAGGCACGAGAATCGCTTAAGCCCAAGAGTTTGAGGCTGCTGTGAGCTGTGATGCCACAGCGCTGTACAGAGGGCGACAAAGTGAGACTCTATCTCAATTAAAAACATATATATGTATGTCCAAGTTCTTGGATACCTCATCCTTTAAGAGGTGGTGCTCAATTGTCTTTTGCTGAGTAGGGACTAGACTTAGTGACTTGTTTCTAATAAACATGTGACATGGTAGAAGTGGTGGTATGTCATTTCTGAAGCCAGGTCACAAATGGCATTGCAGTATCTTCCTTGTTCTTTTTTGGATCACTCACCTGGAGGAAGCCAGGTGCCCTGTGATAAGGACACCCATGGAGAAGCCCCTGTGGTGAGGAACTACAGTGTCCTGCCAACAGCCTGTGAATGAGCCATCTTGGAAGTAGATCCTTCAGCCCTACTCAAGTCTTCAGATGGCTGCAGCCATGTTTGACACCTCACCTGCAAACTAATGAGAAACCCTGAGCTAGACCAGCCAGCTAAGCCAGTTTTCTGATTCCAGATTCTCAAAGCCTTTGTGAGTAAATGTTTCTTATTTTCAGTTGTTAGGTTCGCAATCGTTTGTTACACAGCAGTGGGTAACGAATACACCTTGTCATCATTATTAGCAGTTTCTTCACTGTCTTCAGTGGGTACCCTCCCTCGTCAGCAAACAGCTCAATTTTTTGTGGACATTATATACCCCAGAAAGTGTCACAACCTTGAGAGAGGCAATTTCCCCCTGATGTCTTGTCACCACCTTTGTGAGAATGGAATTGCCCCCAGAGGTAGATGTGACTCCCGAGATGAGAACTTAACAAGTGCGGGTGAACTCAGCTGTATGAGTGTATAGAGTGAACAATAGTATATTACAGTGAGACAATGCATTCTTGTTGTGGAGATGAATAGTAATTAAAATAACTGATATTCATGTGTTACTGTATCTCTGGAATTATGTTCAATGGCTTACCTGAATTTTTTTGTTTTAGGCTCCTAACTGCCCTATGTATAACTACAATTCTACGGATATATCATATGGATATGAAAATCGGACATAGGAAGATTAATTATGTTAATCCTATAATGGATTAATAATTAGCACTAGAATCAGAATCAAATTCAGGAAACCTGAGTCCAAAGCTATTGACACCAAGATTCAACATGCCAGTCGAGTAATCCTTTTACTACCTGAGTCAAATCATGTCACTCCTCAGGTCCCCACTTCTCTGAGAGTAGATGGCGAGACCTTGCCTTGTCTCCCAGGCCCTGTACAATCAGGCTTCCATTAACCCCTAGCCTCATCCTTTCACCCATGGATCAAACTCAAGCCACACGGACCTCTTGCTCCTCCTTGGACAAGTCAGGCAAGCTCCCAGTAGGGACACCTTCTGTTTTCCCAGTGCCTCTGGTCAGCAGGCTGAGCCCTCCCCCTGCCTCCTTTAAGAAGAGTCTCTTGAGATGCCTGCTCATCCCTCAGACCCATGTTGGCCTCCTCCTCCAGCATGTTCAGCTCACCCAGCTTGCTTATGCCTCACTCTCGTCTTGGGGCCTCTGCGCCAGGCTGTTGTCCCTGCCCGGCTAACTCTTCACCAAGATGTCAGCATGAAAAGATGTCAGCATGACTCACCCCCTTTCCTCCTTTAGATCTTTGATACAATGCCCTCTGCTCCATGAGGCATACAAACACCATTCCATGCTTCCCTCTCCTGCTCTCACATTCCCCTTACCATGTTCCATCTCTTTCCATGGCACTCACCACCTTCGAGCATACTGTATAAGTCATCCATGAGTTACTTTATTTTATTAATAAAGCTGCTAGAAGATATATTCACACAAGGGAATGTGTTTCCAGTCTAATGTGTTGATCGATCCCAAACACTTAGAGTGGTGCCTTATATACAGTATGCCTTTAATAAATAGATGTTGTAAAACACTGAATTGTATACAAGTCCCAGGAATTGTTTAGTGCTTTGTTCATGATTATTATTTAATTTCTCAGAGAGCTTTGATGCTTGTAGGTTCTCTCTCCTTCCCTGATGGCAATGCAGGTGGTGCCAGGTAGCAGTTAAGACTGTGGGCTGGCAAAGTGGCCTGTGGACCAAGAGCAGTCCACTGCCTATTTTATAAATAAAGTTTTATTAAAACACAGCCATACTTATTTGTTTACATATTTTCTATGGACGTTTTGCACTGCAATGGCAGAGTTGTTATTTATGTCAGAGACTGTATAGTCTGTAAGGCCTAACATATTTACATGACATTTTATAGAACAAGTTTATCAAACTCTGGTTAAGGTCATCTTGGTTCAAGTCCTAAACATGCAGCTTACTAGCATGTATCTTTGATCAAGTTATTTAACCTTTCTGTGTTTTGTAGTTTTCTTCTACCAAAGGGGGATAAAAATAGTACTTACTATTGTTGTTAGAATTAAATGAGTTAA